ATATTTATATATCTAATTTGGTTTCTCATGTTCGCAGATTCATAGTGATGATTGCAACTCACTATTAATACGCCGTATTGTTATGTCCCGTCACTTCGTTTTTTTTATATGCTGTCCATACTCACCTTCTCTTTCCCTTTCATGGCACATCACCAGTGGCGATCTATCTATCATCGCAGAAGCCGACACAACGGTAGAAGACCCCCCCACTGACGATGACACACCCGAATTCCCCGACCTGGCTGAGGCCGACGAACATTTGTTTGCAGCGCTCATGGCCTACATCCGGGAGCCAGAGCCAGAGCTTCCGGAAATGTACCATGGCGCTGGGGGCGGCCCACCACCTTCACCACCCCCAAACATTTTTACCATTGCCGACGACGACTCCCAATGCGACGATTGGGAAGACTATTATGACCAGCTAGATTGGTTCGAGGCACTCCATCCCGGATGGACGATTGTCGATGACAACATCGTTAGAAGATAAAAAAAATATAAAAAAATGATGATGAATACTAATAAAAAAATACCGAGATGACAAACAAAATCAGGACGTCCAGTTTTTCATTTATTTTGTTCTTTTTTTTTGCCCCCTGGCTCGCCTCCCAAAATCCCCTTTCATTTACATCCCTTCCATCCCTTCCATCGCATAACAGTATTGCTAACCTGAGGTTTTCTTTTGTGTGTAACGTATAATTTTCAATGCCGCAGCGGTATCAAGATATATCTATTTTATATGTTTCTATACGTTGCTCTCCATAGATTATGTTTCGCAACTATTGAAAGTGCGAGGGTAGTGTAGTGTAATGAAGCTAATATTATCATGAAGAGAAAGTTGATTAGGAGAAAGTAATTAAGAAAATGTAAACCACTGACTAGCCTAAGGGCTAGTATGTAGAGGCAGACGAGAGTGGTCCCCGAGACAGGTCTCCGAGACAATTAAGCAGGGATAAAACTGTACTGTTGGGTATTACCTTATAACTCGCTGCCTCGCATCACGCGTTGCATTATAACACTCGCCATGTCTAATCATACTGCACTTTTTCAACAAGGACACACGCACAACGACAAGGAACAAGACGATGCGGGCCACGGACTGCACGGACAATGACCCCAATTAGTTAAGGAATATTTAAGTTAGTTAAGTTTTTGGGTAATGCGGGTATATATGTCATAAAAAAAAAATATTTATAAAGGAAAACAAAATATTAAAAGGGGTAAAATCCACCACTAAATCGTGCAACATTAACCTCAGTTCTTCGCGATACGAGCAGGATCGCTCAGAACTTCCTTGGCGGAGGGGGACAATAGTGTAATGAAGAGATGTGTCATAAAGGAAAGTTGATTAAGAGAGAATCATTAGGAACAGTGAAGGACCACCTAAGGCCCGGTATCTCTTAATGTTCTTAATACTCCTAGGTCTCTAGAAACAATTAATCTTAGGGGACGATTAGGATTAAGTCAGTGCTAGGGATGGTCAGTCACCCTAGAAGTCAATCTGCCAAGCGCTACACAAGCATTCCATTCACGCGTCGCTGAAAACCTCGTCCCGTCCAGGGACGTAGCGAAGCCAATACTGACGTCCAGATGCGGGCTAATGATCGCCAAGAAAGAGAATAATACCCGTCGGTACTGGACTCTAGAAGACAGTTCCCGAACGAGCAGCGTCCTCCGTAAGTCTTAATAGTCTATCGTAATCGAGTGCTCATCGTATTTGTGTCTCTCTCGCTTTTAAACTATTTTGAGGCATTGTTATCGGGTTGTTTATTTACGTTGCCACTCTCTGTTTTTCCATACACATCCACTCTGTTGGTTGTTCTTGTGCCGAAACACGTTGTGCAAAAACATACTCTGTACGTAGAGAGACGGAGCACTATGCTAAACGATACGTAGATCCATTGGATACATTGTACAGCTACAACCTGCTGTAGCCACGCAGCAAGCGTGCACTGTCATTGCGTTTTATCTACACACCGAAACTCCCTGTCATGTTTTGTTGGCATTTTAATCGGTGATAGAAGTAAATAGATATATGTATATATTGTTGACGTACACGTCTGGTTTGTCTATCATTTTATGCTAAGGCTCGAGGCGGAATTAATCTAATAATTACCCGCACCAAGCGGACTGTGGGTTACGTACACCGCAGTGGTATATACCTATACGCTTAATACCACGGGCCGGCGGCCCTCACGAATCACTAAACCCCACACAACCCGACAGTACACGTATATACGAGGCGAGAAACAAATAACTACACTATCTATGCCTCCTCGTTCGTCGCCTCATGCCCAATTGCTATGTTTTCCAACCGTAACCACGAAGCAATGACTTTGTTTTGCTTCAAAAACGGGTACGATTTCAATAAGACAACCCCGCCCATCGCAGACTACTTGAGTCGATGGTAAAATGGCTGATCGGTTACGACGCCCCATTCCCGCAACATAAAACTTCGGTCATTGTCATGTCAACCGACGCGGCGCCGTCGCGGGTTCCGATGTCAGCGGCCCCCGAGGCCCACGGCTCTACGAGTCGCGCCGGGAAGGATACGAGTGAGGCCTCATCGGGATCGATGATCGCCGGCGCTCGGCTTGCCGACACGAACGCGAGCGGAGAGACTGCGCCGGCGGCCCTCGCTCAGACCCTCACCGTACAGCTCACGTCCATAGGGTTAAGTGCCCCGAGCGCGACCTCTCATTTTGAGCTCCGCGACCTTTATAATGTAGCATTTCGACGGTTACCAAGGGCTAGAAGCCCCTGCGTGACGCGGCCTGAGGCAACTAGCACGACAGATCCGGCCAGCTGCCTCGGAATGAAAGGCAAGCAAACAGCGCAGACCCGGCAGAAACACTTCCTCATATGTCTGATCTCTACAATGTATACTTAATTATGTCAACTTGTATTCCATTGGCGTGGCCATTTATTAGTTGTCTTAACCTGCAATATAGTTTTGTGTATTGATTGGAAAACGAGTGAAGCAGATTGCAGGCTGGCCGCTTACATTGGGACGTGTTGTCCTATCGCATGCAGTGGCGTAGCAGGGAAAGCGGCACCAAATGTGGCACCGACACTCTTTACTCCCTGGCAGGGGCAAAGACTTGCGATGCAGGGTCTGGGAAAAAGCCTGCCAAGGAGTATTTTTGTGGGGCAGCACCAGCACTACCACCGCGGTGAAGTGTGCGGCCGGCCTCTGCATTCACGTTATCAGTGACGAAGGACTTGGGCCGGAGGGGGAAGGAAAGCCGGGAGCAGGTGGCGGGTGCGACATGTGAGGCACGCTCAACCCTGTAGTAACGCGTTTCTCCACACTTACTCCGTTCCCACGCCCCGCGCACGTCCATGCTGACACTCTTGCACTAGACCCTTCCCCAAGTCTCTCCTCCCTACGTGTTCACCCACTCACCGTGCACCCGTGCGACACAGTTATACGTAGGACGTGCCCTAGCGTCCCTCCTCGCACGCACCATACTAAAACGATACGCTTGCAAATTGCGGTGACGCTTAAATATGGTATTCTGTATTACATTGTTCGCCGCTTCCAGGCAACATCGCGCTGCCCCACCCACTCGTTTCTTGCCCTCCCCGTTCTGCAGCTCCCGCGCTGGTGCTCCTCATTAAATGCTCCCCGAGAGAGATCGAGGTCGCAGAGATC